TCTCTACTGGATCTAGGAGGGCTTTACAGTTATCGAAGGGGGTTACTATGAAGACACTCTTCAGCTTCAACCTGGTTGCCAGTAAGTCAGCTACCCTCCTCCAATCATTAACCTTTTCCTTGGCTTGTATCACAAACTTACTATCCCACTCTTCTCTCTCGCCTTTTGTTTTTGCCATGACCACTGGCCCTTGTTTTACCCTGCTGTTGCTGAGATATGCCTTCTCCTCCCTTATGGAGGCTTTTTTATCATTTGCTACTCTTTGAGCAACCAGTCAACTTCCCCCCCTCCCATCCTTGGTTCTGTTTTCCTGCTGGTAGACACACCAGTTGGCTTCGTCCCTTACCAAAAAATTCAGCTAAAGCTATGAAGAAGCCTTTTTTTTTTTTAAAGAAGGGAGTGTAGGGTTAGGGAATGTAGTGATTAAGAACGAAGCTCTTTTAGGTAAATGGCTTTGGAGGTGGCCCCTGGAGAGGGAGAGGTTATGGCATGAAGCGGTGAAGAGTATTCATGGTTGTTCTAAATCAGGTTGGGATGCTGGGTATCTCGAAGGGCTTTGCTAACAACACCCAGAAGGCAATTTCTGGCATTCTCCTCGAATTCCTTAGGTTTGTAAGGTATGATGCTTGCTCCAGAAACTTAGTTCTTTTTTTGGAAGATATTTGGGGTGGGCACTCGTCCCCTAAAAGATCGTCTCCTTCCCTCCCCCCCCCCCCCCGATTCTCCCTTTGGTTTTAAACTGGGATTTTGGGTTTCAAAGAGGTTTAAAGGATGATGAATCTGCTTGGGTTTCAGAGCTCTTGTTGCTCCTAGACTCTGTGTGTTTGTATCCCCCTAGACTTGTTAAAAGGATTTGGTCTCTGACCCTGGTTAGCTCCTTCACTTGTGCATCTTTCTTTAAATCCCTCTGTTCTACCCCCTCCTCTCAGGTCTTCCCTGTTAAAGAAATTGGTCAAGGCCTATACCTCCTAAAATAGCTGTGTTTTGTTGGGAAGCCTTTTATTGTAAGATCAATACTGTGTAAAACTTGCAAAAGAAGAATCCTTATATGTTCTTGTCCCCAAATTGGTGCATTTTGTGTAAAAGAAGAATTCTAATATCTTTTTTTTATAAGTAATAAAGCAGTTTATTAATATTAATCAAGATGATCCATGTGCATTTTGTTCTTGTCCCCAAATTGGTGCATATGGATCATCTTGATTAATAATAATAAACTGCTTTATTACTTATAAAAAAAGATGGCAAGTGTTTGGACTTAGCTTCTAAACATGTCCAGGTCATCCAGCAGTAGCCATTCAATATTGGGACCGATGGGAAGCTTGTACCTAAATAATTGTTTTTTCATAATTAATAAAATTATTAGTTAACCTCAAGTATGAGGAAGTTCAACCACTTTGTGGAACCCTTTGAGTTGAGAAAGCTGCCAATGTTACAAGCTGATTTTATGTGGTCTAACTTCAAGAAGAGCCCCTTTGTTGTAAGTTAGCCTTTGATTGGGAGGAGGCTTGGTGGTGAGAGCTTAACCTAGACCTACATCAGATCATTGTCCCATTAGATTATCACAGGAAAGGTTGGGGGGTGGACCTTGCCCGTTCAGGTTTGAGAACATGTGGCTGCTACAACCGTATTTAAAAAAAATAAAGAGTGGTGGGAAGAGGACCAAATAGCTTTTAGATGGAAAGGTTACAAATTCTACAAGAAGCTACTAAAATTGAAAGCTAGGATCAAAGAGTGGAATAAAGAGGAATTTGGTAGAGTTGAAGAAAGAAAGGAGACTATCATTAAAAGTATTGAAGAAATAGGCCCAGCTGAAGCAAGGAGAAGATTTAGGGTAGAAGAAAGGGAAAGAGATGGAAAATGAAAGATGTTTTGGAGGAGTTCCTGAGAAAGGAAGAAATAAACTGGAGACAAAAATCAATATGTAAATAGTTCAAGGAAGGAGATGGTAACACAAGGTTCTTTCACAACTTGGCAATAGGAATGAAGAGGAGGAAAGTTGTAGTAAGTTTGGATTGGAATGGAGTAGTGCTAATATAAGAAGGAAGATATGGTAAGAACCCTAGTGGAGCACTTCAAATCCATTTATGACAGCCCTAACAGAGAAAGAGAGGGAGAGAGAGACCTTTTGGGATATAGAAAATAAAAGATGCTCTCCTCTTCCTTGATTTCACCTAATCAAGGGGCCTTTGTCTTAGGGAGACAAAATCATTGACCAAATCCTAATTGCCAATGAGTGTGTGGATTATAGGAAAAGAAGAGAAGGGCTTGGTTTGTAAACTTGATCTAGGAAAGGTGTATGATTTGGTAGATTGGGATTTCTTGCTAGAAGTATGACTATGTGCCGCTACTCCATCTTGGTAAATGGTGTAGCTAGAGACTTCTTTCATGCTAAGAGAGGCCTTAGACCAGAAAACCCTTTATCCCCTTTCCTTTTCACTTTGATGGTGAATGTTTTAATGTTTTTGATCTCCGGGGCTAACTCAAGGAATTTAATCAGAGTTTGGAGAATTGGGAGACAATAAGTTATTGTTACTTTTTTTTTGAAGAGTAAAGAAAAAATATTAAAAGGAAAAAAAATATTACAATCTGGATGGGTGTCAAGATGACACACCAAAGTACTACTCAAAACTCAAAAAGATCCACATTATAAGATTGAAGCTCAAAGACATCCCAGTTTTGGAAATATTCACAAAGAGGCTGCAGGATGGAAGAGAAACTACATCTCATTGGGGGTAGAATCACTCTAATCAACCAACCTATTGGTGTACTTTTTGTCCACCTTTCAGCTTCTTGTCAAGGTTGCAAATCAAGCTGAAAAGCTTATGAGGGACTTTCCTTGGGAACCAGGGGATTCAAAAAAGGACCATCTAGTGAAGTGGGAACTTGTCTCTAGGAAGCAAGAACTTGGGGGGTTTAGGCATTGGTAATATTAGATTAAGAAACATAGCTTTGTTAGGGAAGTGGTGATGGAGGTTTCCCCTAGAGCAGGATAGCTTGTGGCATCAGGTAGTAGTAAGTATTCACAGCTTGGCAGCAAATGGATGGGATGCTGGTATTGACCCCAGGGCTTCTAACCTTTCATCAGGTATGATGCTTGCTCAGGTAACAAAATTTTGTTTTGGTATGACATTTGGAAAGTGGTTCTCCAAAAGACGAATACTATGGATGTACTTCAAAGAAAAATGCCAAATTGGTGCCTTTCCCCACATTTCTGTAGCCTTTGCTTGAGGAGTGGTGAAAGGCTACAGACATGTGGGATATGGTTTATTGTTGTTATGGATAATGCATTGTTATTGTGGATATGGTTTATTGTTGCAGAAAATATAGAGCTTGTTCATTGCTTGAAAATTCTGAGTAAGAGAAGATGAAGGTAATGAATCGACAAAAGATTCTATCTCTTGCTTTCTAGTGAAGGATGAGTTTCAGAAACGTACAATATGTTTACATGAGTATGTACTTTCTATATGATGTACAATCCAAAGGGGCTAGTCCATATTTCCCTCTAGTAGAGCTCCCCATACAATCCTGCATATAAATTTAGTGCAAAGTATATACTCCCTACACCAAAGCATGTTGGTTTACACCTTCAGAGGCTAGTAAGTCAGCAATTACATTTTTAGAGTGAGGAAACCAGAAGAAGCCAGCACCCAAGTTTGTCAGTTTCTTTGCTTATCCTATTAGATGTCTGAGCCTCCATGGTCCAGCTACCTCACCTTCCTGCCAGGTATGATGGTTTTATAATCTCCTACCATAATAGTCTGAAAGCCAGAAGATACTGCTGGTTTGAGTTCTTGAAGAATAGCTTGTAATTCTGCTTGACTAGAATTGCTGTTTCCTATTGGTTAGAGAAGGCCATTTTGATTCCCCTTTTAGAACCTGTAAATGCACTCTCTACCTGAAAATGACTACACCCATCAAAGTTCGTTAACTTAATTTTAATGACCATTGTACCTTAGTCTAGCCCTTCCTGTTTAGGTTGATGCCACTGTTGACCATCTTCTTAGAATGTTAGTGTGGAAAAAGTGGAAAATTCCTCCATGGTCTTCAAGTTTTTTGTTGGGTTTTAATTTAGAAGGGGGTTGTAAGTTTTAGTCATTATGTCTGATGTTTATTTTGGGAAGGAACTATTGATTTTTATTGTCGTAATTTCCTCTTGGTAATTTGTTATCACCTTATCTTGTATACCTATTTTCTTATTGAACCTTTTCTTTTATTGTCAAAAAAGAAATATCTGCTATGACAATCTGAGAATCTATGAAAATTTCAATGTTCAGGTCTCCGGGAAAATTTCTGAGCTGAAAACTACCATTGATGTTGGGCTGATGCACCGGGACAATTTGTTAAAGGCTATCAGCTATCAATTTGAACAGTGGAGCCTTTTGGTTAGTTCAAACTTATTCTATTAAATGGAGTCTCTTGTCTCTTAAGGGATGTAATGTGGGATCTTCTTCCATGGAATTTTTCTTTTCCCCCTCTCTGTCCATTTTTTTGTATTTAGCTGAAATATAGAAAGCCATTTTTGGTATTTATTAGTTGAATTTGTGTTTAATACTTGAATTTCTTATCTTTGAAAACCTAAAGGCGAGGAAGGAAAAATCGATATATCATACACTGAATATGCTTAGCTTTGACGTGACAAAGAAGTGTCTTGTTGCGGAGGGTTGGAGCCCTGTTTTTGCTATAAATCAGGTATTCTTCATTTAGATGCTCCATACTTCTCCAACTCAACATATAGCAAACCTTTAATAAATCACCTATAAGTCAAAATAGTTTGCTAAATCCTTAATATATCGTCCTTTGTTTTGTGCAGATTCAGGATGCCTTGAAACGAGCAACATTTGACAGCAACTCACAAGTTGGATCCATATTCCAGGTTTTGCATACGAAGGAATCCCCACCTACATATTTCCGGACAAACAAATTTACTTCTGCTTTTCAAGAGATTGTGGATGCATATGGGTAAGTTTGAGCCATTCCTCTACCATTAATAAGGAGTAGAAGAAATATCACTTCTAATAATTTGGTCAGATTGGAATGCTATACCCAATGGTTTCTTTTTTCTTGAGTATGCTGTAAAATACATCTTTTAGGGGGTGATATGGGTTTCTTACATTTAGAGAATCATGAGATTTCCTAACCATATTATTCCATGGTCCAGATTATGTTATGCTTTGATTCAATGAAAACTGAACCTCATATTGGCAGAACTTCATTTTGTGAAGCTTATCTTTATTATTTCTTATCATACCATCTTTCAAGATGTAAATTGCAATACATAGACAAAATGAAGAACAAGTTCAACGTTTAGGACAAATTGGGGAGCTGGGATTCACCCTAGTATGCAGAAAACTGTTTAATGGAGTACAGCCAACAGTGGGTTCTATTTACTAATCAGTTTTAGGTTATAAAGAGAAAATGCATTCTTCTTGGATACTTTGGACAAGAAACAAGATTTTTATGAACTGTTATCAACATGATCCAACTGATGACAAGGTCATTTTAACTGCAAACCTTATTATTGCCAGGAATTTTAATAGAAATCCTTATGTGTCCATCAGTAGCTGCAATGGAAGTAGAATTTATATTAGATAATGTGTCTGAAATCTATTCATGAACTTTACCTTGTTGATTTCTTTTGAGGCTGTTGTCTTTCGGAACCCATGTTATGAACATTACAGGAGGAATACAATGATATGCTGCTACGTGTATGATTTTTTGTCCATTTGTATTTTTATGGATGATTTTTGTTTATTGCATGGAATTTAGAAATAAAAACTACTGTTCACCTAATGCAGTGGTTCTTTAATACTGCAGTGTGGCCAAATATCTGGAAGCAAATCCTGGTGTATACACAATTATTACATTCCCGTTTCTATTTGCAGTCATGTTTGGTGATTGGGGCCATGGCATTTGCTTGTTACTTGCAACATTGTTCTTTATAATCAGAGAAAAAAAACTCTCAACCCAGGTAATCATCATGTGGTTTCAGTCACTTGGTTATTAATCCTTTAAGTTATTTGTGTTTGCCTTTTGTTATGCAAATTCTGATAAGCTGCAGAGCATATTTTGCTATACTGAGTAGAACCATATTTTTGTTCTTACTAGGTTCTCTTTGCTTTACTCAAATGAAAAATGGTTCTAGTTTATTTTTTTAAAGAAGGTAAAGTACATTTATTTGTCTGAAAAAAGAGTACAACAAGCCCTGGAGAAGGCACAAGAGTCTGCCTCTTCATGGGGATGCTAGAAAAGTCAACCCACTCACCACATAACAGAAAACATGATTCTCCAAGGAGACAAATGAGATAACTCCTTGGCTGCAGAGGCCCAGGAGATAGTTTTGCAGCTGACCATTTGAAGGAATTGTATCCAATATGGTTGCTTTGGTAGGGGATAGGGAAGCTATATTGGGTAGAAATTCCTGCAACTTTTGTTCCAAAAAGAATTCCTGTAACTTAATAATTTAACGCTTTGTTCATTGGTTAATACCAATGAGCTTCTTTGATCATAGAAATTCCTACAAATAACACAACGTAAACTGTTTGATCAACATTGGAATTTGGAAATAGTACTTTGTACCATGAGCTTCTTTGATCACTTCCGTTTGAAAAGAATTACTTATGATGCCAAGCAAAACTCCAAGGAAGCACAACAAAGTAGGAGTGTTGACCATGAATTGATGCACGAATAGCTAGAAAGGCTAGTACACGCTAGATTAACATTTACCTTGCCTTTATTGCTATAAAGAAAATTGATTCAGTATTACAATTTTTTTTTTTTGCATCTAGACATAGGATCACACTGAGATGTAGACCTATAATCACATTCACATCTTATTCTTAAATATCCTTTGCAGTTACTTAGGGTCCATTTGATAACAACTGAATTTTCTGAACTGAGTGACTTGTTGCTTTGTGTTTTCATGAATAAGTTATTCAGGAGGTTTCAGACTCCTTAATGGTTGAAGCTGAAGTTGGATTGGTTACCATACCTTTGAATATTTTGTAACTTAATTATTTTATCTACCAAAGACAAAGAAATGAATCTTTCACTCCAGCCATTTCAGCTGTCACCAAAGAGCCTCTAAATCCTTGGTTTTGTTCCTTAACCTCTCAAAAATCCAAATCACTGAAATAAATTGAAAACGAACCTTTTGCCTATTAGATATCTAGGATTTCCATTAGGAGGTAGCCCTAGGGGTAGAGCTTTCTGGGACCTTGTAGTTGATAGATTCTCCAAAAAATGAGCCACGTGGAAGAGGAGCTATTTATCCTTGGGCCGTAAATCACAGTCATCAAGGCCACATAAGCAAATCTCCCAATATATGCTACCTATCATTTTTTAAAATTCCCTTTTTTCTGATTGGAAACGGTAACTTCATTAAATAACTTTAAAATAACTTTCCAGATTTAAGTACAGCTGTCAACCCCTAAGTAGGTGTTGAGCCCCAGTTATCTTTCTTACGAAACTGCCCAGAACATACTCTCCCTCATAGTCCCTTGTTTAGCCAACGTGTCAGCTAAACCATTAGCTGATCTCCTTGTCCATTTGAAGCCACAATTCTGCCATTTTCATCTCTGAAAACTCCTCCCATACCTGAAGGGCCTGGGTTACCTCTTGAACTCCCATCAAAATTTAATTTCACTCTTTGTTGTGTTGGTGGGGACCACAATTCCTGCACAATAGGTTTCATGGAAGTTGTAGAAGCCACCACTTCCCAATTCCTGTAAATGTCTTCAGCTGAGAAGTCTTTAAACAAATCCAAAGTTTTCAACCAATGAATAGTCATAATAATTATCCTTTCTACAATTCCCTTTTTTGATAGGCAGTTTTTAAATAACCGATATAATTATCTTAATATTTCTTAGT